GAATGGATGAAGCCAGCACTCCCAGACAGAGATAACTGGCTGACAGTGTTTTGGATTGAGGCATTCAAACGTATCAACAGAAATGCAAAAGCTGCTTTCCTTCTTGCAAACATCGATCGCTTTATTATCTCTTTTGGTGGACATTTATCGGATGAACTCCGTGGTGAAGGTGAACGATACGATGAATGCTCTGATGAGGAAACGTTTGTCGTTCTAGGGAGCTTGGAAAAGAGCTCGCCAGTGATATCAATGTCCGAAGGAAAATATTATCGAAAAATACTTGAAAGAATAAAAACAAAACAAATGAAATCTGCGACCATAAGCAACAGTGATACTTTGGTGAACGACAAATATGGAAGCACGTCGATTCTTCGAAGAGGATCGGCGTTAGTTTCGGCTGAAGTTGGAGAACAATTTCGGGCCCAGATGCGAAAAATGAACGTCCAGGGCCCTGGAGATGAAAAAAGAGCTTACCAATGCGAGACGGTGTATTCTCTTCCTCCTTCTTATGACGAGGCTGTGCGAATGGGTAATCCAGTGCCTCTCCCAATGGATGAGTCCTCTTCACAAGAACTGTTTAAAGAATTGATACAAGAGGCGTTACACAACTGTGAACCTGGCGTGAACGCTGGAGTGAGAGTTAGCCGATCCGGTTTTGGAAACATTTATGCGAAATTTTTTAGGAAGACAATAGAGTTTATAAAGAGTCTTCTCCGTGGAAAAGAAAACCGATAAATTCAAATGTAGAAGGACGAGCGCGTAACAATCTTAGAGGTTAACATAGAAACATTACAAAAGGGTTACTGAGAATAGGTTTAGCCTGCGTTGCTGGCGGTCTGCGGTTTTAGGGGCAGAGAGAAAATCGTAGACCGCCAGCAACGCAGGCTAGAATTAGTTAGGTGATCGTGTTTCATTAATGCTGTTACTGTTTTTGTAATGACAATGGCACTCGAAACTTTTCGACTGCTTACTCTGCAATTATTGATACCTTAGCAAATTTAAAGCAAGGAAGGCATTTTAACACTAATTGCGACCAAACATCATAGCGGGAAATTGTTATTAACCTCTGATCGGCTGATTTATATTATAACTATTAAATCGAATATAGATCTGCTTGCTGTTGATTTGGTAGGTAATATAAACTACTATAATAAAATTCGTTGTTTTATGGTACACAAGATCTTATTTTCCCCGGCGCCAAATGATGGTAAAATAAATTTCTTAGCCATGGTACGATTGCTCCTTTTACAAACAACCTTATTTGAAATTGAATCGCCAAATAAGTGGATTTCTTTCACAAACGCCTAACACACGAGGAAATCAATTGTTTAAAAAGATCATCGCCTGCATTTCGTATTTATCTCCATGTTCACTGCTTCAAATTGAAAACGATGTAACGCCAAATTTTCCTTGCGGCCAGGCTACTTTTTCCTGCGCACCGTGGTATAAGTTGTCTAAGTTAACTCTTCCCTTTCTGTCTTGGTCACTCATGGGAGTGACCAAGACAGAATTTCTCCTTACAATGTCAATACAATATCAACCAGATAAATGATGAGAATAAAGAAAAACATCAATTTGGGGATAGTAAGTTGATCCAATGCTAAATTCTCTGAAGTAACAATATAAGAATTGTATGGTTGACTGTAAGGAGAATTACAAATTTGATCTGAGAGTTAGAGAGTTAATGAATCATCGTCTTAGTCTTGCAGAGTTCCAAGAAAGGTAAAACCTAGCTTGGACCCTATTGGAGCCACTTTTGAGCGGACAAAGAGACAGAAGTGGGCACGCAAAGACTGGGCCGTGTCCTCTCCATCTATGAGAAACAGGGAGACCCTGGGCACGACCTATGAGTAGTTTTCTTATTTATTGCCTCAGACTCCATTTTACGAAAGAGAACCAGAAGTTGATCTGTCTGTAACCGTCGCCGACTACGCTTGCTTTGCAGAAGTGTCCAAAGTTATTTTAAACTACTTTCAGCGTTCAAACAATGATGTAAAGAAAAATGTAGATAAATTCCGAAAACCATGGCAAATATACAAGTATGGCCTTAGTCACGAAAATTTCCAATATCCTTTGTCCAGAGGTGCGCCGAGTCGAAACGTCAATCACAGGAGGAAAAAACAATAGGAGCACTAGAAAGGCTAAGGAAAACTTAAGAGAGGGAGTCAGGTCGTTTGTCGTTGAAAACGATTATGCTTACGTTGCGGAAGTACGCCTAGAGGTGTTTTTACTTACATAAGTTCAAACAATGACGTATAAAAAATCACTTACGACAATTTTTTTGATTTCCATTGACTGGAGCAATACAAACATTAATTGCAAGCAAGGTAAGTTGCCAAGGGGACTTTCCCAATCTGAAGGCCCTCTAAAGTAGTCTTTATTGAAAGAGACAGGAGCGGACACGTAGAGACCAGGCTGTTGTCTTTTCCTTCTGAGGCAAGGGAAGTGAAGAGAATTTTGGATGCGGCTAACGAGCCTCCTACTCGTTTGTCGCCTAAGAAACTTTTTGAACGAGACCCAGAGGTAGAGCGGTTTATCAAGTGAACGTGGATTATGCTAACGGTGCAGAAATATGTCCAGAGCGTTTTAAACTACATTATGTCAAAATAATGACGTAAAAAAATTTAGATAGCTTCAAAGACCACACGAAAGTAGCCTTAGAGGAGAAAATAATTAAATTGCTTTATTAAAGGAATAGAGGCATCATCCGAAGTGTAAACTCAAAAGAGGCAAAAATAATAGGTTGCTGAAAAGGTAAAGACACGTCTTAAGAAAGGGACTTTCACAACCTAAATATTTTTTAGTAGGTACCGTTTACTAATGTTGTTGGAAACAGATTACTTGTTATCGTCCAAGAGGAGGAGGGCACCTCAAAAAAACGGTACTAGGTCAGCTGTTGCGATTTTCCATAATTTTTTAAAAATAGTTTAGTGCTTTCATTCTATTGGTAAGTAACGCTGATCTAAAAGAGGGCTAGAAACCTTTGGTTGTCATGCAACATCCAAATTCGCTTCGAAAGGACAAGTTCCATTTTATAAATTACATGCTATAACCTTCGCCAGTCATCGGTAAAGAAGATACGAGTTTAAAGTGTGTTTTGCGAATATTCTAATTGATAGATTTAACGAAGTAGTGCGATTTGAATCTGAGCGACGTCAACAAAAGAAAGTACAAAACGCCCGCGTTATGTCCTTTTGACTAAACTTGGCTCCAAGACGATACAGCGAGTCTTTGAAGCAAGTTTAGTATCTCCTTCCCTCCATAAAGTTTTGAAAGACAAGCGAGTTTAGGCTTGAAACAAGAGGCTACAGTGGCCTTCACTCGGCTTCGCTTTATTTTAGGGGTGTTACTAAATAGAGTAACGCAAGAACAAGCATGCTTTTGTTAGTGATTCCGTGACTATTTTGGAAATTAGTTCGTGAGAAATCTCACGAAGTGAGACCTAAAACACCTCGGGATTTACAATCGCTCCTCGCCTTTAACTTGCCAGTTTTCGTCATGAAATTTTAAGTATCGTTGAGCAAAAACAAACTCAAATTTAGGCGCAAATCGAACACTATTATGAATCGCTTCGATTGTTTACGTTCTGATGTGAAAACGAGCCGTGAGAGCAGTTAAAGATCATTGGCTGATTGATTCAATTAGATAATCAGCACTGGTGCGCTGGAAATGCCTCTTTGGAAGATAAATGACGACCGCGACCAAATTTAAAACTCGGGCCCTTCCACACAAAAATACAGGAAACCCAAGTTATTACGAGCTGTGGAAGATTAGTGAAAAGATGTGACTATTAACTCTTTAACTCCCATGAGTGACCAAGACAGAATTTCTCCTTAACAATATCAATGAAATACCAAGTGGACAAGTGATGAGAATAAAGAAAAATATCAATCGAGGGATGGTTAGCTGATCCAATACCAAATTCTCCACCCTAACAACTAGAGAACTGTATTGCAGACAGTAAGGAGAATTACTAAAGAGATCTCGGGAGTAAAAGGGTTAATATTGTTATTGCTCAGATAGCTCTAGGGTCGTGGTCGTGGTCGTGGTCGTGGTCGTGGTCGTGGGATAAAACGGGGGGGGGGGGGGGATCGGGGAATGGTGATTAGCAGATGTCAATGGAGTCTACTTATATGAGGGAAAATCGCTTTTTTGTCAACGCTGTAGTCAACAATAAATAAGCAGACTGTCCAACGCATCAGCAAGCAGGTAGAGCGCATTTTTCATAGTGTGTTGCTTTACAATTTCCTTAATGTGTTGTGTTGGATCAAGATAGTGACCTCAAATCACTTTTTGAAGGAGTTTCCTCATGTAGAGGTTCTTCATTGCTTGTGAGACGCTTTGATCCATTGACTGAATCGGCTAAGTTGTGTTTGGAAGAGAAACATACAGGTAACAGACCAATCGCGAGTTTTCAGCTCTTCAGGATGAGCAGAACAGTTGTCCATCAGCAACAACGCTTTAGGCGAACGAATAATGTTTGGTGCACGTTGGTGGCGTTTAACAACTGGGAGGCGAACGAATAATGTTTGGTGCACGTTGGTGGCGTTTAACAACTGGGATGAAATCTTTCTTGAACCACTCAGCAAAAATCTCCGAGTTCATTCAAACGTTTCTTTGAGACTTGTAAATGACAGGGAGCGCAACCATGTTTACGTTTAAAACATCGTGGCGTCGCAAATTTTACAATCACAACTGGTTTCGGTTTATGGGTTCCTGTGGCATTACTACAACCAAGGACAGTTTGGCGATCTTTTGATTTCTTGAAACCAAGGGCAGATTTTTCGCGGCGTGACACCAGGGTTCTGTCGGACAAACATCTCCACAGGAGTCCCGTTTCTAACTATTAGGAAGCCTCTATGCGAAAAACTAGAACTGAATCACAACTTTTTCCACTGACAAAGATAAAAGCATCAAGGTATAACAAAATATAATTTTTTAAAAAATTTTTTAAATTTAAAATTTTTTTGTTTTGTTTTGTTTTTTTTTTTTTTTTTTTTTTTTTTTTTTGATATTTTTGAGAAACACAATATCTGAAAACATTGGAAAAAATATTAGCAAAATGTTCTAAGTATGGGAAATATGGTACACCCAAAATTTAGTGATGGTACTTCTTAGAATGAAACACTGCAAAACAATCCCAACCCTTACTAACATGCATATACTTCTGACATTGAGGGGCATCACAATAGGATCGAACCCTAAAATCTCCCCTACCCTCTTTATAACATACCACACAGCGTCTCTGAGTACTAGAGAAAACTGGGATATGGACAGATATAAACTCCTCTGGGGCAGGAGGGGGTGATTCCACTGTGGTATTCGCAGGTGGACTACCATAATCAGGGAAACCACAGATTTGTCTAATAATTTCTACCCGGAAATCAGCCAAAGAATAATGGGAGGGCCTTTTAAGAGCATCATCGTCAGGAAATTGAGCCTGATGCTCTTTAAAAAGAATAAAACCATTAACTACAGCCATGTCAATTAGGTGGTAAAACAAAGTTTTCCACCACTTCATGGACTTACGTAGTGCACTATTTGTAGTTAGAATTTGATCAGATCGGTCAACCCCACTCATAAACTTATTGTAATTATCTATAACTTTAGGTTGTGATACTTCCCTTGTGTTCCACACACCATCTGTCTTTGTTTTCCTGTTGACCAGACCATGATCATTAGCTCTATCTATAGTTGTTAACATTGAAACTACTTTGTTATCCACCCACTGAAGTGCCAAACAAGGAGGATCTCTTTCCCAACGCATGCTACCCCTTTCTTTCCCCTTAGCCCATTCCTTACTGTTTTTGAGCGCAGCTGGAAAGTCTCTCCTGGTTTCCCGCATGGTACCAGTGGCAAGGACTCCCTGAGCAAACAAATCTTTGAACAATTTGACTGATGTATAAAAGTTATCAACAAATAAATGGTAACCCTGATTTAGAAAAGGCCTTATAAGTTTCATCACTACATCATAACCTAACCCAAATTTACTAGTTTCCTGCCCAGTGACTTTACCAATGTAGACATTGAAGTCTACAGTGTAACCATTTGAACTGTCAGCCAATACCCACAATTTAATACCCCATCTGGTGGGCTTGTCTTTGATATACTGACGTATACCAGACCTGTGGCGAGACTTAACCATGCGCTCGTCAATAGCTAAATTTTGTCTGGGCTGGTACAAAGCAAGACACCTAGATTTAAAATAATCAATAAAGGACTCAACTTCACGCAGCTTATGGGATTTATCTTCTTTAGCGGGATCTACCACATGCAACATGGCCATTAGGGCTTTGAATCTGGTTCTAGACATGATTGCTCTTGCCCAGAGACCATGAAATAGGGTCTTTATGCTCCAATACTTGTCAACATCACCAATCTTAACAAGCCCCATATAAATGATAAGAGCAATCAGCCGCTTTATTTCATCAGCTGTGGTCTCTTTCCAACTACCATCAGGGCTTGTATAACTCTGATGGGACCCAGAAAATATATGCTCCCAAGCATAACTATTTGTATGTGCAACTATATTGTTTATCATTTCAATTGTAAAAAATAGGTTAAAAAACTCTACCGCCTTTTTCATGGTGCTCCTGAGTTGAGGCCGCTCAAAATGGATTCCAGCTGGCCTTGAAGGAGTAAAAGGAGGAATGGGATTGCTTACATCATGATCATTATAAGATTTGAAAGGGGCACGAGCAGGAGTACGAGTGCGACCACGCACACTCCTACGGCCAGCCGAACCACTTGAACGACCTCGAGTGGCAGGAACACCACAATCTTGAGAAGCAGGAACACCAACAGCACCAGCACCATGGAATCTTCCAGGACCTACACAAACATAACAAATATTTTAGTTTTGTTGATAAAGTCCATAGATCCTATAGATAAGGTTTGATAAACCAAGTAATATTTTCCTCCTTTCAAGACATTTACTCACCAAGAGGAGTGGCAGAATTGAGAGGGGGAATTGGACAGGCAGCAGTAGAAGTAGCAGAGGGGCCAGCAACTACACATTAAAACAAAAATAATTATGAGAAATTGTAGCAAATGCTGTTGGAAAGTGCTCAACACACATGAGTGTAGAGCGAAATACAGTTCAAAATGACTAAAATGAAACACGCATGATTACCTGTAACTCTGAGTTTCGTGCTTACGCACTCGTCAGACAGGTTTAATCTGTCTGACAAGTGCGTAGGCACGAAACTCAGAGTTACAGGGAATCATGCGTGATTCATTTTAGTCATTTTGAACTGTAAAACAAAAATATAATTTTCAGTGAATAAATCAGTTATCCTCAACATCGATATACTGATATCCTAATAAAATTCACGTTACTCTATGGTATGTGCATTCGGAAATTATACTTGTTATTCTAAATTTTGCCGGGTGGAAATATTTCACTTACCAGGAGCCATGGGTTCCTTAGTGGAAGTGCTAGCCTCCTCCGGCCGCTCGTCATCTTCAACTTCTCCCTCGCTAAAACTGTCATAAGTAAAATGTTTATATTCCGTAAGTCAGTCAAAATTAACCAAATGAAAAATCTATATTAAAGTAAATGGCCAAATCGTCACCGAATCGCACGCAACGGACGCAGCCGAAAAATGCATTTCTCCATGGTAAAGCTGATCGAACCACCCTTCCAAATAGCTTGAATCGCATCGCATCTCATCGCTAAAAACATGCTCGTAGCGTAAATTGCTACTTTTCAGAGTCCCTAAAGTCAAATTTTAATCAAATTGAAATATCTGCACAAGAATCAAACACAAAAGGGCGACCTGAGGCGAACGACTTCGCATCTCAAGACTACATGCTCGATGGCGACCATTCCGCCATGGCCTTTATTGACTTCTCACCTCGATTCCCCACTCTCATTTTCTAGCTGTCGGTCCAGATCACTTTCTTCTCCACTGTCCATCCCATCAGCGGAGTTTTCATCATTAAAGATCTTCTCCAACATAATTTCAGCGGAGACAAGGTTCACACGCGCACGCTTAGACGATGAAGCCATGTTTAACGGTGAAAGTGAAATTTCAAATCAAATGTTGTGTAGTATTTTCAAATGTCGCTCACCAACCTCGCTACATGATTCGTTTAACATGTCAACGTCATACAGACCAAATATGGAAAGAGTCGGAAGTAACGCAATACTCTTCCGGAAATGATGGGTGGAATTCCACCCCTAAGCTCAGGGGCTGCTGGGATATCTTTTAATTAAAAGATATATCAGACATACGAAGTATCATTTCTATTAGGTCAATGTTTTATCGTGCTAAGGCGCTCTGAGAGGTCCTAGAGAAAAACAAGGAAAATTTCAATCCAGGCTCTTTCATTATTAAAATTTCGCGGTGCACTTTGCTTTCTTTTCTTTGTGGAATGTTAGGTTTTTAGATGCATGACGGATCCTCCCTCGGAATCAGCTTAAATAGCCATCAAGAGGCCAAGGAGTTATATATTTGGCGATAATAGTTGCAATTATCAGCTACAAGAGTTTCTGAAATCAGATCGAAAGGAAATGACCATCCTACTATATGGCAAGACAAGAGTAGGAAAGTCACATTTGACCAATCCACTTAAGAGAGGATGTCAGCATCCATCGAACAAATTTGAAATATTGTAGCAAGTCACCCAAAATTCGTTTCCTCTCCTACTTTCATATTTTGTAGCCCAATATATTCTAATAATTGTAGTGTAGTTTTTTTTGTAAAAATATATTTTTGTTTTGGAGAAATGACTTTTTTCGTTCGACCACTCAAATATGCAAATTTTCACCTTGAATATTACCCGAGTTGTGTGACCTCATGTGACGAATGTACTAGATCTACGCTATTTCTGTGAGCATAATCCTTTGTTTTATCATCTAAACTTAAACCCCTGTCGTTATTGAAGCTGGCAAAGAAATACTTACTTTTTGGTGAATATTTTTGTCCGACATACTTTTCCTATGTCGAAAAGTAGCATCAAAACAAAGACATTTTTAACAATGACCGATATGACAGAATCTACTGAGCTTCAAACTGTTAAAAGCCCAAAGGATGGTTATTAAGTTACTGTAAAAATTTCCTTAAGTATTTGTGTTGTTCTATCTTGAGACGAACTCAAAGTCCGGGAAAATTTACTTCATAGCGACTATGAAATATACATGGTGCGCCTACTTGTCGCCACCGTTAATTGGCATAAATCACTACAATTTGTAAAAAAGTCTAACATAACACTCTTACCTTGTTTAGTTATGATTTTATTAGCCGTTTCGAGTATTATATTACGCCTGGGTATTACTTTTTGACAGGAGCCCAGGTTTTGCGTTGTGTTTTCCCCTCCCTCGTTTATATCATGAGCTAGTCAAGTGAATATTTACCAGGTACAAAGAATTTTGTTTACGTTGAATTGAAAATATTAAAATCAGTGCTTTCTTCACTAATCGTTGTTTCAGCGGCAGCACAGCAGTTAAAGGCGGGTTGTGGCTTCAACGCTACTGAAATTTTTAGTATTCAGACAGGCGAGCAAAGCGTGATGCTCTGGGAATAAAAACTTTTAGGGGCCTTTTACATGATATCCGAATGAGTTTTGTACAAGAACGAGTTCATACCGGTTACCACATAATAACCAGCGTAAAATTTATTCGAAACGAGTCAATTCTGAGTGAGTTTATTGGGGTTTTCATTACAGAACGAAAACTCATTCTGGACGACCTTTTCTATCTGTGCAATGTAAACGCGGCACGGCTCTCATATTTGTATGAGTCCTCTGTAGGAGCGAGGGAAGCATTGAAAAAGACAGAAAAGGACATTAACACTTGTTTTTACAAGCTAATCGTTGCCACTCCCACACGGATAAGACTTAAGTACCTTTTATAATTTTATAGCGATCGTTTTTCGAAATTCCAGGCGCGCACACCCGCCCTCTTATGTAAAGGGGTCCCCCGGGGGTGCTGATACGTGCAGCACACTTGACATTTAGCAAGGACAAATTCTAACGTGATTTTTGGCGAAGAGAAACAAGTTTTGTCAGCGTCTAGTTGCTGGTGCGGAAGGGCCCTCTACCACCGTGTGCATAACTACGCGTCCCCCCAGACGGCGGAAAGCCAACAAAGTGTTTAGACATTAGTTCAGACAACTCCGCCTCTGTCTGAATTTTTGGTAGCCTATTGACCAATTCCCAATCGAAACTTAAGTCTGACGTCACGTGTAATTTTGCTCACGGTGGTAAGTAGCCTACTTACCGAAGCCAGATTGTACGAATTTTCCAGACATCTTGAGTAATATCTTTGATACACGCTTGCCAATTCCCCTATCAGCTTTTGGAATCGACTTAACCCTACCTTTATCATGGCCGGACATTTCTTTTGGCACCCTACATCTACTATTGGAACCACGATTTCACCTAACACCGAGATTTGATCTGTGAAAACTACACCACAATTATTAGAACATATTGGGCTACAAATTATGAAAGTAGGAGTGAAAACAAATTTGGGTGACTTGCCGCTGTTTGTTTGATGCATGCTGACATTAGCTCTTAATAGTGAAAATCTCGCGAGAGAGGGTCATACTCTGTTTACAGAGACAGCCGACGTGAGTAGATTCACGACTATCTAACTCAAAATTTCTGTTCATACTCATAACCATTACAACTTCCTGAAACGCGACTCGCGCATTAGCTGTTCATTTTTATTAATTATTCTTTAGAGTTGTAATCAGACAATGCCTCTACCATAGATATTTTCTCAAATAAACTTCGTAATGTGTTTTTTTTCCCGGAAATCGCAATGGTCATAAATAATTGATAACAGGAATTTGTGTTGTCCAATTCGTTCTGTAGTAATATAGATGAAAACATCACGCACTTCTGATTGGCTGGAAACGAGTGAATTTTTTTAAGATAACGCGAGATCAACACGAGTGCAAAGTTGTAACATGAGTGCAAATCACATATGACGCGCGCTTTCAGATTTTCGTCAATTTATCATCTTAATGCTTTTCTACGCAAAGTGACCAACATTTTCTTACTAAGTGTTGATATCAAATTAACTTGGAGCTTGTGAAAGTTAAGCTCATAGAGTATTTATCAGACGTAATTTAAAAAAGATCTGAACAAGAGAATTGCTGCGGTTAGGGATCGAGTTTGTCTGCAGAAAGAAAATTCGAAATTTATTGGTTTTTTTTTTTTTATAGAGACTAGTGTATTCTTAAAATGCGAACTAAAATTTTTATTTATCATCTTCTGGTCTCACTATCCCTTTATGGAAATGCTCTTACAGGAATACTGTCATCTAGACAGAGAAATGATAAATTATACAGGGTTCAAGCAAACAGCCAGCTGCCGGCGGCAGCCGAAACTTTTTGCACGCTTGCCAGCGATTTTTCACAAAAGAACTAGAATTTTATTGAAAATATTATGCTTATTGATCTTTCGACTGAAGTTAAAGTCGCTGTCATATTATGGTGAACATTACATATCAGGCAATAAAGTAACCAATGTTTTAAAGGCTGTTTGCAAACGTAAACGAATATAAAGTTCAAGTTTGAGATTTGAAGCGTGCTACAGGTAGTATTTTTGTTTACAGTATTTAGCTTTCTACGTATTTCTTTAAGCGTGACATCACAGGCGGCCCAAGCTCCAGCTGTGAGATGATCATCTTGCGCAATAACAGTTATGGCGGAATTGTAAGAGTTTGTATGGGAATATTTATGATCGCTTTAAGGAATAAAAAAATACGTCAAATTACCTCACCTTACTTCCACGATGTATCGCTTGCGATCTGACCGCTTACTTTGATGAAAAGAGCCCATTTTAAGAAAAGTCCGTTTCTTATGTACGTTGAAAACCTCGAAATGAAGAACTCGCTAAAATGGGCTGTCCAAGGTGATCGTAGCCGTTGCGATCAAAATGGTGACACCGCTTCTGATCGCCGCCTCATTACCAGTGTTTTCATGGTGGAGATATTAATAAGCCCGGAGTCACATCTGCGTCTACGCTCAGGTACGATAGGCACTGATCATGGGTAGAGAGGCCCAGGGTAGAGTTTCCCCAGCATCAACCCCGTCCCTCCTTCAGTAAGAGAAAACCTGAGAGATGTCCGTGATGAGGTACGCTAGAGGAACCATCAGGGTGGTATTCGAAAGGATCCTTTCTGGAGGTGGCTCTCTTGGTGCCGCTGCCTTCGACTGGATTGTTAATTACTTCATAGACTGGCAACGAGATAGCCTTGGAAGGGAAGATTAATACTATGGAGGAAGAGAGAGAAAACTAGCGAATAGCTGACACCGGAGTAGTTCTTATTGAAAGCTATTTTGCACCTTAAAAATCTGCATAACCTCTACTTATTGCAAAAAAGTTGTACATTGGTAAAACTAGATGACAAATTCCGAGAACACGTCCGCGATGTAGAAAGAAATGAGAAGGACGTGTCCAAACCAGTCGCTAGATACTCTAATCTTCCTAATCATTCTAGCAGCCAGGAGCCCATTACTTAGGCTCCTGAAGTAGCATATGGCAGTTTCCGGCCTTTCCCTACATCTGGGCAGTTCGGAAAGCCGCAAAACTCTAGAACAAAAATTTATCTTTCAAATCGACGCTCTTGATCACCACCGTATCAACGAGCGCTTTTCATTCAACAAATTTATTTTTTTTTTCTCCTCACCATATTCCCACCAATAGCGTAGCTCCATTTTCTGAAAATAAAGCCACACACAACCCACAATTCCTCTAATCGCTCTGACGAAGGGTTTAAACGAGTTCGAGGCGTCAGCTTTTCGACTCTTTGCGGTGGATAATACTAAATTACCCGATCTTCACGAAAGACCGAGCATTTGCCTTGCCTTTCAAGGTAGGTTGAGTGGATTAATTTGTGCAACTGATTTGCAACTGATTTGCCGATAGTCATCTA